CGGCTGAACATCAGCTCTATTGGGCCCCGTTTGTGGTGGTCTATTGGCTCTTTGAGACGCCCGCGGAAAGCTACGCGCCGTACGCTCGGGTCTGGGTCTGGTCGGGCGGCGAGCCACCCTTACTCGCCGTCCGCAGACCCGCGCTTAACATCATTATAATCACGCTTGAGGGAGAACCATGCTTCGGCACGAATGGGACGGATCGACCGAGGTTTTACCACGGTCTCAAAGAAAACCGGCGTGAAACAACACGTGCGATTACTGGAAGCCCAATTCTTGTCCCCAATCCCAAAATCTATCTATCTGTCCTGAAATCCTTTAGCCGAAAAGCCAGGAAACTACTTTGACTTTGGTAACTACTTTGACGTTAAGAGTGTCCAAGTTTGTTGCCAGTTGTTTTCCATCGGGTCATTCCAGAGTGTTCGTTTGCCGACTCTATCACATAAAAAATTCTCACACCGACGCATACGTACTGAAGCATGGCTCTCTCACACTTAAAACATAATTATAAAACACCTTCCAAGTCTGACTCACAGCTCACGGTATTTAATTTTTTTACAAATTAATTGTAATTGCTTGCGGTTATTTACCTAAGCCAGAATTAAAAGTCGTCACTGCATTGAACTTGACGAATTTCTACAGAGTTTACGACCATGTAGGTCAGTAAAACGCAACTCATTACATGACACAAATATTCTTATAAAAAAGTAAAGATTTTTAATTAATTTTTAATGTTAGGTACATTAATCCGTTTGTCGTGACGTAGAAAGGATTTTCCTTAACTTACTCATCGTAACAATGTAACTAACTGGAGTCACGTTCGACATTTCAGTTAAAACTTAACCGTTCATTAACGCTGGTCGTTTTGTAATTAAATCGTAAATCTATAACAAAATAATTTAATAAACATATTTGACGAAAAAGCGCCAAGTTGCAATTGAAAATTTTAAAGTGTTTTTTTTTGTTTAAAATTAATTTAAGTGTTAAAACTTTTGATGAACTTGTGTTTAAATATTACATATTAATAAATATTAATTATATTGAGAACTATTACATAAAAAAAAATGGTGACAGCGTCGATCCGGTCTAGTGTTCTAGAAATTAAGAGGATAGCTTCGGTTCACATGAGGAAAGAGGTCAGTGTTTATATTAATATTAAATAAACCTACGTAAATGATATTGCCTGAAATTTCCCTAAGACATAAGAATATTATTTTTCCAGTAGTCCAACTGATATAAGACCTGAAACGAAAACCGCTAAACAACCTAATCCTTAATCCGGCTTTATTATCTTCAATTAATGATAAATATCAGGGAAACCAATCAATCAATTTATTATTCATTGCATAGAATCCCTAATCTACCCCCTTTTTGATACTACTTCGGGTTCTTTAGGAACTTAGTAAAATAACATAACCTGATCATCTTACATAACAGTTCTCTAAAGATCTATAAACTCTTTTTCCAATATTCTACAACTTTACTTATTGTTAAGATACTGACAAATTCGACGAATTTAAACTTTAGGTCTAACTATAGAAAGAAAGAAAAGTATTTATTCGCATCTAGGAGTGTTTAAACACAAAAACAAAAAACAACATGGTAATAAAATATGAAAAAAGAGTAATATAAAGAAAATATGCGATACAAGCACGCGAAATGGCTCTCGCTCAGCATATTTTTTTTTGTGAGGGGAAAGTCATCAAATGACTTCTCCCGCCCAGGGCCGGGCAGGAGGGAGTGTCAGACTCTTACTGACTAAAAACCCCCCTGTTCCTTCTCCTGCTCTGTGCCGAGGTCGCGGTGCCTCATTGCACTTACCCCGTAACCCCGGCTGTAAAAAACTTCATGCTTACGGCGGGACTCGAACTCGGGGGCTCTCTGGTGTAATCCACACGCCTTACCGATTACACCAACTCGTGTTTCGCTCAGCATATGCAGCGACACTATGCGAGACTATACAGTCAACGAATGGAGTCAAACAAAATTTCTTTCGCTAACACCGGCCCATATTACCTCGTACCTAAGCTAGTAAACATAAAATCAATGCCCTTTTCCTTAATAAATATCCAGTTCAAAACAAAATGACACCTTTCAAATACACATTACATTTTGTATTATCGTAGCGTAGGTACATAAATACAGGGATAGTTTACCATCGGGACGGGAATCCCTTGCAAAATGCTTGTAAACAGACGAATGAAGTTTTCTCTATTGCATTACCTACGTAAATAACATTATTATTCACCCTCTTGTTTTGTTGTGTATTATTTCCTATAGAATAGTAAGCAGTAAACACACAAAATAGGGTCCACAGTATGAGATTACCGCAAATGAAATTGTCTGGACTGTTAGAAATTGTTTTCTAAGTATGTTCGGATGAAATGAAAAACAACGACGCTTAGTAGCAAAATTTTGTTTTTTTTTGTCACTGTCTCCCAACTAGGTCGGAGACAATTGAATGCAAATCTTTACCAGTCTAAACCATCACCACCAATTTGACATTGTCGAGGTTGCAGGGGAAGAAACGCAGTGACTTTTAGTCAGTAAGAGTCTGACACTACCTTTCGGTCACACAGGGCGAAAGAAAAATGCCACAAGTCTGTCATTGTTCTTTCGTTAAGTCCATTTTCAATTTGTCGCTTGAAAACGCTTTTCAACTCTTTAAGTCAACTATTTATTTGAGTAAAAATTCACAACTGTCATAAGCTAAACAAGCACTTAATGTATCATAATTATTATTCTAAAATCTTCATTTATTTCTACAAAAAAAGTTATAGGATTGCAAAAAACAATGAAAATCGAATACTATGAGTAATCCTGATGTAATTTCATTACTTATTAAGTTTTATCTTTTATCTTTCAAGTGCATCATGAGTCAGACTCAGTTCTTAGGTAAACACTAAAATGTTATAATCACTATGACAGTTGTTTATACTACAATTTTTATTAAGTACTGACATAAAAATAAATGATTCAATATTTTTATTTGCGGCGGCTGGCGTTCCGCGCTTGCTTCAAAGAGGCAGCACAGACTGGACCCTATAGGGCTGATATTCAAACGGGATTGCGAGGCAAGCGCAACGAGGCACCGCGGCTTCGGCCTTAAGCAGGAGAAGAAATGGGGGCGTTTTTAGTCAGTAAGAGTCTGTCACTCCCTTTCGCCTCACCATGAGCGAGAGACGTCATTTAAAGGTTTGACAAAAATAATACATTTTATTGAATCATATGTTTTTATGATTTTTTAAACGTTTCTCCATTTCCGTGGATGCGTTTACAAACAAACAATTTTACCTATACACATCAAAACCTGAAGACAAAGAATTGTTCCATGCGGGATATAGCCCACGATACATTTCACAGCCGACTATAGTCTAGTCACCGCAAGATAGACAATTAGGTAGTTCAATTTATTGCTTCGTTGAAAGAGTTATATTAAATGGCAATATTGCCAAAAAAGGGGTAATAAGACAGATTACCGACTGAGGTGAAATCAGATTTCATTTTTTCTTAACTATGTTTTACTTCAAACAATAATTATTCGCAGTACATTGAACAATGTAGTGTAGTCCCTTTATCTAAGTAGGTATATTATCATAATAATCTTATCAATTTGCTTTAGATAGGATCGCATCGCACCAGAGTTGTTGATGAAATATTTGCATATTTCAAATCTTAACTTATGAGGTTGATGTCGATTATACGTGGCACATATAAAAGTATAATAATGAATGTCATAAATTCACGCATTTTAATTACCGAATATTTTCCTATAACACAAAAAGTAAATTTGACAGCCATATTTAAGCCCAAATTACTACAATCTCCCCTCTTACTTACAAATCATTATGTTGTCAATACGAATAAGATGTATATTCCAGACTTAAGTGTGCTTATGTTACAAAACCATATCTCATATTTTCAATGGAATACGCAAAAAAATCCGAATTTAAAATCTATAAGAAGCCTTAGAGAAACCGTCTTAAATACATAATTTACATTGACCAACAAATTACTATTTAAGCAAGGTAAATTATGACAATAATTTTGACGTAGGTAACAGTACGACATTGACGTTGCAGTGACGTTCCAATTTCCAGCTTAAGTTTAGTCGTCTATGGTAGAAGGGATTGACCTAGTAGTACATTTATAGTACTTCGTAATTATGACCCACTTCATTAAAAGTAAGGAAATGACGTCACAGTTCGAAGTATAAACTTACTCAAAGTAAGGAGGTTGGTTAGGTCCAAACCTTCGCGTGTCCTTTGGAAATTTCTTCATCAACGTCACAGTTCAGAATCATGGAATAATATTAGCACTATTGCTAATGATAGCCATACTGGTGTATCATTGATTCAAATATTATCAATACTAATATAAGGTAGATTTGTCATTATTTTGAATGCGCACATTTCGAAATAATTAATGTATCTTAGACTATATTTTCAAGCAATCTGAGTCTTTTGGTTTATCTTTAGCGTTTATTTTACAATATGAGTGAGTTTACCGGTGTCTATTCCTTCCTATCCTTATTCCTGCTTAAATCTCTAAAACCTCTTATCCCCAAAAGACAGACAAAACACTTGCAACTCCTCTGAGCGGTGTCAATTGCACCTATATGTATATTACATATACAGTAGCAAACGACCAAACGGGTAACCGTGAGGCCTATTACGGTTTGCTGTCGTATCACATAAGAAACATCATTCAAAATCAATGAAAGAACTGTTAAGTACCAGCTTTTAAAAACAATACAAATCGGATAAATGTTTTTTTAATAATTGTGAGTGCTATGATTTCACCACACGTAACAACGCATCCGAAATCCCGATACATCAAACAAACCATACGTCATGTCTACACTTCAGTTACTTAGAAGGGTCAATTACTCATAAAAACAAATAATAGATAAAAAAAAGAACTTGGCATATTTTTACAAGAGTGTGTTTAAAAAGATAAGCTCTGTATTCGTCGTTAAAATCGGCCTGTATTTGAATTTATTATCAGTCGCGAATATCTAGGTTCGATATGTAAACGTGTGTGATAGTGTATTTCTAATATATAATAATTCGTTTTTATTATTATAATAATCGTGTGTTAAAATTAAAAATTGATTTTTTGTGTTGTGGTTCAGTGTTATTAAGAAATTATGTCAGTGTACAGATGCTACGAATCTGTCGAGGTAAATATTTGAATGCCTTTTAACTGAAGTATATACAAAAACATATTACTTACTCTTATGTAGTATAAAACCAAGTCGCTTTCTCTGTCCCTATATCCCTTTAATTTTGAAAACTATGCCACGGATTTTGATGCGGTTTTTTATATATGGAGTGATTCAATGATATCCAATGCATTGCACCAATGTGCAGACAGACGGGTCGCTAGTTACTAATATATGTATAGATTACTATAAAATGTATCTGCTAAAATACATTGCTTACTGCAATCACTTTAGTATCATGTCAATGTGGTATAAAACAGTACAATCAAAGTTTTTGTATTTTGAGTTCTTTCCTAGGTATTGAAATACTCAAAGGTGATAATAATTCCAAGAATGTGTCATTACTATAATGTATATAGATATTAATGAATACAATTAAGTACTTTTCTTTTAGCTATAGGTACACGTTAAAGTGGTTTGTCACTCATGATAATTATGTATTTGATAAATTTAACATTGTGACATGATTTTAGTATCGTTAAAACATAACCTTAGTATTTTTTTGTAAGGGGAAAATCGAATCGAATCGAATGGCTTATCTCGCCCAGGGTGAAGCGAGAAGCAGTGTCAGACTTTTACTGACTATAACTCTCTTCTGCTTCCATCCCTTCTTCTGCTTAAGGCCGAGGCCGTGGAACCTTTTGCGATTGGTCCGTGAAAATATCCGCGTGTGGCTCCGTGTGTGATAGCCTATTGGCTCTTTAACGCTACAAGCCGCACACTTGCGTGTAGTTCTGGTCAGGCGGCGAGCTACCCTTGCTGATCGACTACAGACGTGATACATGAATGCATGTTAGATACTATTCAATTTCAATATTATTAGGGCTGGGTCTCGACATATACGTAAAATTTGATTGCACAGCTGATGCGGTGGCTTGGCAACCGGCTGCCGTTCAACGTGTTGCGAGTTCCCGCACTGAATAACTCATTGTGTGATTGACAATTGACAAAATTTTTGTCGGGTTGAGTAGCATAGCGGCAATCAAAGAGTGACACTTAAAATTAGACCCAGCTAATAAAGCCTCCGCTGTCCGCTGGCCGTTCTGTTATTTTATGAACAGTAAAATATATCAGTAGATATTATTCAAGGAGAAAAAAATAAGATAATAAGATATGTATTTTTAATTGGCCCTCGGTGTAATTTAATGTAAAAAATAGAATGACTTAAGCGTTAAAGGGTTATAAGAGACTTCACAACTGGAAGGAGCCCACTCATGTAAGCCAAATAATTAATAAAACAAAATTGATCAAACAAATCTTTAACGTAAACAGTTGCACGTCGTCTTTTGTAATCTGTTAATAAAGCCGTGTGAATCTCTACCACGTGTTAATGTTACATCATTCTGCTTAAGTATCGATAGTTTAATTGTTTACGTTCAATTAGTTGACCTCTTTAGCTCGTGGTAAGTTGTTGCCTGTTTGATAAAGTCTGGTGATCTTAGGTTAAACAACTTTTAAACAACCACGATTGCTCTTTGTTTTTATGTGATAGAACCATGCAATCAGCCCGTCCATGGATACTCACAACAACAGGGTTTTTTTTTGTGAGGGGAAAATCATCAAATTACTTTTCCCGCCCAGAGTGGGGCGGGAGGGAATGTCAGACTTTTACTGACTAAAAACCCCCCCTCTTGTCCTGCTCTGGGCCAAGGTCGCGGTGCCACATTGCGCTTACCCTGCAACCCCAGTGTGTTGCCGACCTTTTGGAGATTGGGGGACGCTGTGATTGTTTGACGCCGGTTTTTTGTGAGGCCGTGATATCATTCCGGTCGAGGCGACCCATTCGTGCCGAAGCATGGCTCTCCTATATTTGAAAACAAAAACTTAATATGGATAAGCCTCGTTAACCTATCGAAAGAATTCGTCATACGTATCTGTTATCAATATTATTGTGTGCATAATGTACCAAACTTCGGCACTGATTCATTAACTATAGGTAAATGACGTCATAGAGTTATTCCCGTACTGTACCAAGTACAAATTAAGTACATTTAAATATTTCCGTGGTATAGGAAGTGAATCACAGACGTTGGACTTTGTTGTTGATCGTTTAACCTATTGATCTGTACGGTACCTATAATTTCTTCTTTGACAAACTTTTTGGCTGCACTGTTCTCGTAGTAGCTAGGCCGGCTGCCTTGCAAAGCGTCGCGGGTTTAATTCCTAGATGGAACAACACTTGTGTGATCCACCAAATTGTTCATAGTATATGTTTGCACATACACATCACACCTAGATCTCAAACATTTCTTGTACTTAGAATAAAATCTTAGTGTGAGACAACTTTTAAAAAAGAAACTGAATTTCTCTCAGCACCAGATTACCACCTTTCAACTGTAATGGACTTCATAATTTTTTGCAAGTTTTTATTTAATTACAAAGCAGGTCTAAAATAGGAGAGGATGCGGTGTGGTTTTTTGTCAGTAAGACTCTGACACTTTCTCTCTTACACAGAAAACAGAATGAATATAAGTGTGGGAGAGCCATGCTTCGACACGAATGGGTCGGCTCGACCGAAGTGATACAGACACAGAAAACCGGCATGAAACAACCACAGCGTTGTGTTTCGCCGTGTGAGTGAGGTTACCGGAGGCCCAATCCTTCCCCTCCCCTGATGCCTACCCAATCCCTGAATCCCCAAAACCTTAATCCCTAATAGGTCGGCAACGCACTCGTAACTTCTCCGTTGCGGGTGTCCATGGGCGGCGCTGATTGCTTACCATCAGGAAATCCGCCTTCTCGTTTGCCGACTTATTACATAAAAAAACCATCACTTTTTTCTACATCGCGTTCCTACTTTGATTTTTATCGTAAGCTAGTTTAGTCACTGACAACAAGAGAGTGTCATCCTTCACTTGTAATTCAGGATTAAAGGATTTAACCATTTTCAACCATATTTAGTCATGTATTTAAAGACTTTTTTTACTTTTTGCAATGTCACGGTGCGTTCATGGAGTTCACGGTCGCATTGAAAAGACTGTTATTTAAGCTGAATTTCATACTGTACTACCAAAGAAATTACACCTCTATTTTAAGCTGGGGTAGAGTTGAAATTCCTGGATCAGTGTTTGATAGATTTATTTTGTTATCCAGGTTTAAAATATCTTTCTGTTGTTGGAATGTGCTTCTTATGGCGCTGAAAATAAAGAGTTTTAGCATAAAGTCATGGGTCAAGTTTAGCTGGTATATGTCAAGACTTAAGTATTCACAAAAACGACTTAGGGAATGCTTGAAGACATCTTAAAGCCAGATTAATATACTTAGTACTTACAGATAAGCTGCTATTGTTTGGCGTTGAATCATCTTGTGTTGTAGTCAGGTTTTGAAATCGGGACATTCTAAAAGAGTCAGATTTTTAGTGGATTTTGATAAATATTTAACTATGATATCTTGTTATCATGTCTTTTGGGTAGATTTTTATAGGATAAACGAGTAGACTTACCTGATGGTAAGCAATTGATGCCGCCCATGAACATCTGCAAGACGTTTAAATTAGGTGTTAGGGGTTTTAGGATTAGGGAAATTGGGAAAGGGTCGAAGGTTTGGGCCTCCGGGAAATTCTACGCAACTGTGGTTTCACGCCGGTATTCTGTGAAAGCCTTGGTATCACTGCGGATAAGCCGGCCCATTTATGCCAAAACTTGGTTTGCAACACTTAAATGATAGCAGTCAGTTCTAAGTTAAATTGTAATTTTAATATCCTCAGAGTCCGTGACCATAGACACATTAGTGCTTGACTAATCAATTAACAAGATTCACGTTGTGTGAAAGTAGCAGCAAAAGAAAACACGTAGGTAGGAATAAAACACTCAATAAATAAATAATAATAAAACCTTAATGTTTACAAACAAACAAATTAGTTGACAAATTGATTTACCGCTGTGTCAATTGGAACGTCGATTAGTCAACTTTTAAATATACAACCTGTCAACTTGACAACTGGTTGCTTGTGTCAAATTTGACAGTTTAATGAACGATTAACTAAGATTAGGTTAATGTTGACATTTTATTTATGTATGTTTAGTAACTAGTTATAATAAGGTTAGTAGTTTTGCTTTTTTAATTTACAGTTTGGCTTTTCAAAGTTGAACTTCATTTTAATTTATGATAATCAGGGGAATAGGTAGATAAAACGTTTTATCTTAAATTAATTAGTAATATACATTTTTTGTTCAAAGGCTCATATCTTATTTTAAAAAGAAAACATTGTTTTAAGAAGCAACGTTTGCACTTCGCTGTATTTAAAAGTTAACGCATAATAAGTGCGTTTAGTAGTTTTGTATTTATAAGATTATAACAAACTAAGAGGACATCTAAAAAAATAAACAATACAACTATTTTTATTATGTACCTAAACGGATATATAATGAAATAGTGAGTACCATAGTACCAGCAGAACTGTTTAATAATTATCTCTTTAATAATTTTAATTTTTATAATTTCTAGATATTTTCTCAAATGACTGATATAACATTTGATTTACAACAGCTAGATCGTTACAAAAGTACATCTACCGAGGTGTATTGTGCCCATAATTTTCTAATTTCTTTATTCACATGGATCGTAATCGTAAAGTTCCGGGTTCTACGTCCGGGTGAAGTTCAAGGGTTCTTGGAATCGTTTAAGTAATATTGTTGTGCGTTAGTGTGTATGTATGTTATGATATTATGAGTGGTTGGATGATGAGAAGAGAAAATTTCACTTTTAGGCTTGACTGAAAGAAGTTTTGTGCGTTTAAAAATCAAAACGTTTTTGTATCGCTGATATTGACATTATCTACTTTTTATTCAAATATACCGAGTGTATGTATACATATATATAAGAACGTATCTAGCTTTTTGTAACATAAATCGATTTTCCAAATTGCAAACAAAATGAAAATATAAATAATTAAAAATATAGATAGGTATCAAAATTAACTCAGGATACCACGAATACAAGTCTTGTTGTTTAAAAAAATATTTACAGTGTCAAAAGTCAAAAAGTCAAAATCATTTATTTCAATTAGACCTATACAGGCACTTTTTAACAAAATAGTGCACCGCTTGGCTTCGGTTCAGAGCCGAAGAAGAAACAGTGTGGCTTTTAGTTAGACCTGTACAACTGTGAACAGTAGTTAGACCTGGAGTGGAAGATTTAACGGGGCGGTTTTAATTCAGTAAGAGTCTGTCACTCACATTCACGAAAAAAATATAATAAAAAAATTGAGTTAGACTCAAAGTTACACACAAAGTACACAATAAAAAATATTTCAAAAATATCCCAAAACAACTTACGCAATTCAAATGAGGCTTCTATACAGTACACACTTGTTGACACAGCCTTATACCGCTGAAACTGGAACAATTAAGTGTCCTAGTTTCCCCAAACTGAATTTCAGGTTTAGACAGACCCTGAAGCCCTGAATAAACACATCATGAAAATACATTTAGTTAAATCTGCTGACCAAAATAACATTACAGTATGAAACAAGGTAAATTTTGACATTTTCGCTGTTTACTTTGCTCCTAAATAAATACGGGAACCGCAAATGTAAGCTAAACTGTAGTGTGCAACCTCTTTGTGGGCAACCCTGTGTAAATTCTAGATAGACTGGACGAGTTACAATAAATCTTAGGCACAGAAGTTCCATATCAATCAGCTATATTACGCTGTTGACCTTGCTTCAGTTTTAATTTTGTATTTTTTTTTATTTTGTTTTTTTACAAATCTTTCGTTCGGGTCAAACTCTTGCTTGCGGAACTCGATAATGAGCGTAACGGGACAATATCATCATCTTTTTTATAAATTTTGCCCTTAGTATAGAATTATTAGACGTTGCCACGTCAAGAAAAAACTTACATAAATCTGAAACACATTTAAAAGTACATTAATAGCCCCATTAATAGATTTTACGACATCCAGACTCAATAAACTGGGCCTTCTGTCCGTCAACATTGAGCGCAGGTCACTGTCCTCGCAAATGTTTAAGGACGGCCCTTCGACCTCCGAAGGTCATAGTACCAAGGTCAACTCGACCTTGCGCTAAAAGGCTCTTAGGTAATCCTACTTTTGCACTCGACTTAGTTGGAATTTCGTTTGGGTTTTGTCAACTTAGGGACTCTATTTAGGGACTTAGTCTCGGATTAAGCGTTTTTATTCGTCAGTGACATCTAGGGAAGAATTGTAGCTTTTAGGATTAAGGTAAAAGGTTGATGAGGTTTTTGAGACTTATCTTTCTTCAGGTGCTGAGTTCAGGAGTCTGTTTTTATTTATCTTCCAGTTTTTTAGCAACTAATAAAAATAAACATTTTATTTTAACTATGAATGGAATTACGATCCTGTAGTTCTCATTTGACGTATTTTTTTATGGTTTTGTAAAACTTACCCACATAAAATCTAAAATTACTTAAGCACCCATTTTTTTAAAACACACTGATTACCTATATGTTAACGAGTCGTTGTATTGAAAATTCAAAACAATTTATTTTTTACCTTCGAAACTATCCAGCTTCTGATTTCTATTTGGCATCACAGATGACATAGGTCCCTACATGTATACTACTTAAATATTTAATAAACCAATTTTATTTTTGTTACAGAGAAGAGACGTGGAGTCACAGTCTTCGAAAACTAGTTTCTGCACTCGACATGGCTTGTGGTGGACATTTGGAATTGACATTCCTTTACTCTTAATCTGTAAGTATCTATATGTATGTATATACACAAACATACACACATACTTAGTACCTACCAGTACACTTTTTCTAGAATACGGTATTTTCCAACTAGTCAAATTCAATACTTTTATCCAAATGTCAAAAACAATACTTTTCTATGAAATTTGTATGACACTCCTTTGCGTCAAATAGCTTGTGTTTTTTCTTAAAAGTTAGCTAAAAATGTTGTAAATTTAGTAAATGATGAATAGAAGTAGTAATGATGAGTAAAGTTACTTTTTCAATAACTTATTGAAAAAGTATTGAAACATCGAATTTATTATTTTTCACCTAGGAAACTACCGAATTAATACAAATTCTAATAGGTACCTAGGAAAGTCTCGTGATGCCAAATTTGATATCCGTGATTAATTATTTAAAGACTGCTATCAAAGAGGTTGCAAAGCCAACTATAAAAACATTTCCTAATAATATTTATAAATCACATCGTGTGTGGTACCACACAGAATTAATATCCATTTATGTGCATATTCAGTTCAGTGGGACATTCCTTTTCTAAAACCCATAAGGAAGCCACCGAAACCCTTTATACATCCCAAATTAATGACATAAATAATAAAATTAATTTTTATTAAAATCATCACGGATGCAACTAATTAACGAACACGAATAAAATTAAAATTAACCTTATAACGTTCGAACTTCGAACACCAAAAATGGCGGCTATTTCATTGCAACGAAGACAGATATAATGTTGCCAGTGAAAATAAATCGAGTAGATTTATTTTTGGAGGGAATACGTGTGTGGAATTTTAAACTCTATATTGATTGGAGGAAGTTAGTGAGTATACTTTACTGTTTTATAAACTTAAATGAAATAAAAAAATGAATCTTGTAAATTTATTTTATACACGAATGTGTTTAGTTTATTTTTCTTTTAGTGTAACGTTTAAGAAACATTTTATATTATGTTTTTGCTTTAAATCTGTTTTGTGTGTGTTGAATTTATTTAAATTTATAGGTATGTTCTTGCTTACTGCAAATATCGTAATTGCTTCAGGAAAAACTAAAGGAAATAATAATTATAATCAATGCACACGCTTAGTACTTAGAAATAAATATGCTTATAATATTATATATAATATGCAACGATAGTTACAAATGTAAACAAGTTAGTTACAGAAATTGGTTTACAAACCATAAAATATTTATTTTAAATAAAAGAGCCACTGAGTAATAAATGTGTAGAAACTTAGAATTTTATACACAAATGGCATAGATTAAATAATTGTTCTCTAAGGTAAATAAAAAAAAAATATTATTAATTATTATCTCTCATTATATTGCCAAAAGGGTAAATATTTTTACCCATAGTTATTGAAAACTATTTTTGTTATAACAGCTGTTTAGCTGTCTAGGATTACCATTTTTTTCTAATATGTCAATTATACATAATATTACCTATTATATTCACGACCTACTTATGAGAACAACCATTTATTTGTTTCCAATTACTTTGAATAAACCATTATAAAAAAAAACACGTTTAATCAAAAAGTCGACGTATTCGAACGAAAAGATAATTAAATTTAAATTAACAACATTGACTAAAAACAAAAAAGAGGTAAAAAATATATGTATTTGACAAGAAACACGTGTGGACCCCACACTGACACACAACGAGTTCCCAGTTGTCACAGACATCTGAAACTAAAAAAAAAACTAAGGTATTCTTATTGGAAAGTGCTTTTATTTTTTTGCGCTTTCTCTGTTTTTTCAAAGCATCATTCATTATAATTAGTTAGGTACGTACAGTATTTTGTCGCTTAGGTCCTTGACTGACTGAATTATAATTTACTGACAACAGAATTTATTCATATTCAAAAGGCTCATACTTTAATTAAATTTATAATCCATGTAGGTGCAATATAGGTACTACTAGCCACCCGACCCGGCTTCGGTACAATGCTGATTCTAAATTTCTCCACTATTTAACGGATTTTATTATACGTATACCTCACTCATCACTCTATCTATAAAAAACACAAAATCAAAATTATTTGCGTAGTTATGAAGATTTAAGCATACATTAAGATATAGGGACTGACACCATTGTTTTAATGCTATGTAGTGAAAAAATATGTTTGATTAATAAGCTTTTATTTTTTTCCGCACTAAATATTTTCAAATAGTCTACCTATGAAAGTAAATCTTGACCGCCGATATTTTTACATATTATTGGTCTTATACCAATTGCGAATAAAGCAGCAGGGGGATCCATTAATAATTCGCATTCTAATTATAACTAGGTATAATCTACATATACCAAAACGATATAAAGCTATTGAAAAAACACATACACAGACCGACGTACATAATACCTTCATAAAATACTCCTCAATACATCTAAGACGAGCTATCACTGACGTGTGAGACACTCATAAAGATTCTCATTTATTGACGTCAAATACTTAGTAAAACAATATGGTACTTGATAGGCGCGTACTTGTGACTGTGTTTAGAATTGATTTGCGCATTAAGAAAATGCAGCTGTCATTATGTTAAGACACTTTAGGTTACACCATACGTGAGAAGTGCATAGCTAATAATTATTATGTTTGAGATGATTAGATATTATGGCATTGTATTAGTAGCAAGATAATATTAAAATACAACTGTTTTTCCAAAGAATAAGGTAAACACGATGGGTCAGACAATGCAATTATGAATGTACTAGCTTCCGCCCTCGTTTCCCGCATGGTATGTTGATAAAAAGCCAATGTGTTAATCCAGAGTATGACGTTTCTACATACCAAATCGGTCCGGCCGTTTTTGAGTGAAAGAATAACAAGCATACATCCATACATTTTCACAAACTTCCATATTTATTTAATAAACTTTCATAAATCGAATAAACTTCCATATTTGTATATTAAGTAGGAAAATCATAATTATTATATTATTACCTAAAAGTAACCTATGATTCGTGTTATGAAAAATAATATCCATGCCAGTATGAGTTACTTTTACAGCTGGCAACACTTACCACATATGGCAGAATGCATGCAATCGCAGTAACTGTTTACAAAATATGAAAAAAAAACCGTGTCATCGACCTTTTGACACTAATACGCGCGTTCATTAGAGCGACCAAATAAAATTGGAACATTATTTTAAAAATAGAATTCATCGTGTATAATTTTATTTTAATCGTTTTACCTACGTTTCTTTTTCAAACGTTTAAATAATTTTAGATATAGACCCATTTGATAAATAAAAGTACGTTTCAATAAATTATTGAGACAAATTACATATCTGGTTCCATAATAATAAAAAAAAAAACATTAAATATTAGATGAATAATAAAGCATTTTTTTAACCCAGCCATCGGATTGTATACTTACTCTTTTAAAAAGCATTGATTGCACTGAAATATACCTCCACAGACTAAAAAAATAACTTGTATCATAAAGGCGACATTTTTGGCAAGTTTTAACGATGAGGCATTAAACGCAACGGAATGTTTGGAAGGGACCGAAGACCGACGGTATTGTGTGGTCACGTGTGTTTATTATTTTTTTCATTTAAAAAATCAGTCCGTATTTAATACGTTATCTATAATATAATTTTTTTATCGAAAATCTTTAAGCTCCATTTTTTTGTTTTAATAAATGTTCAGAACTGTCAGATAGATTTTGCTTTGCAAAAGAATCAATAGGTATATAATTTTGCACGTTCTTTAAATATTAATTGCTAATTATCTTTTGTAATTCTTGAATTGTTACTTGATAAAATATAAGTAGGTAATTATTTGTAAAATTACTTGTAAGTAGTTCTTAATGATTTACTTATTGCAGAATGCATCAATGAAACAATAAAAAAAATTAATTTATTTTTGCAATACACAAAATAGCACTTACACGTCAAAATTATGGGTATGTAAAAATACTAGATGAAGCATCGTGATTAGGTACTCATCAAGGAAAAATCCATTTACCTTCATGTTATTACCTATTAAAGATTTATGACAGTAGTAATTAATGTATTGTTGTTTTATCTGAATATGTTTTAAGTAGAATAAATTACCGTAGGTGTATTTTTATGTAATTAATTAGATAAGACTTACCTACCTATCATACTATAAACTTAAAATTTTATTTAATTTAATTATTTGATTGGTTATTACACTGGTCACTGTCGTACCTATATCATAATTATACCTTTCTTAGTAAAATTCTTACAACATTCTATTAAAGTAAACATGTCGTAAAATCGTAGGCAACCATGATTTCGAAACGATTACAAATATGTAGGTAAATTTAAAACAACCACAGTAAAACATAAATGCCTTTAATTCGTATAAAAAAACTTTCTCATCACTTGTGTAATACTTACTTATAAAAGTACTTAGTGTACGTGATCATTAAATTTAATCTTACAAAATATTGTAAACCTTTTTAGCTATAAGCTCGGCACCCTGTTGCGGCACACGCTGTTCCCGCGACGTTTAAGAAGTATTTTAATCGATACCTATTTATGGATATTCAATTTAACGGACATTATTAAAACTCTCAATTAATACTTAATATCGTGATCGTGACCATCGTTATTACAACTTTCGTTATGAATGAACAAAAACGTGCCGACACTATAATTCATGTTAATCTGATTAAAGATAACACTTTATAGTCGAGTTTCACTTAATATAATCAATTTTATGCATCACAAAATCATAATACATCGCGTCATGTTATACACCAGAATGATGTACCTACAACGCCATCTAGTATCGAGTAGCGGAACAAATTCTACAGTTACAGTTTATTTTAAATTACCTATTCTCGTTTTTTATACCATTAGGTCCGCTGCTCAGGCACGAAAATAGCTTCCAAAAAGTATAATTTAATTATAAATGGTAATTAACTCTGAATAACCACTTGAAATTCAAGATGTTGATACGCAATCTTTCAATTACGTTTGTTTCTGTGCGTGTCGTGAGCGTGGCCGGTCTTAGGAACGTGGTAGACCACGCAGCAGGTCCACGTGGGTACCAACGTGGAACCCAACGTGTCGGATGCACCGCAATTGATCTATTATGGCTTGTTACGTAATTATTCGCAATCGACTCCCGTGGTACACGTTATCGAGAAGAGACTTGCACAGGACGAAGAAACTTCGAGTCGCAGCGAATTACGTAACAGTTCTGTGTCCACAGTCATTGATCAACAAACCAGATAGGAATACACATAAGAATAATTCAAAAAAATCAATCATTTAATAAACCTAAACACCGGAATAGGTGCATACAAAAAAAAAGCGAAAAATATTTATGTAAAATAAAATTTAAATTCCACAAAAAGTAGACAAAGTTGGTGTTTACGGCATATTTAGAAACGAACGCCAACAATATTCCACATATTAACTAGCCGTAGATAATTATATCAAAATACCTATAAATAATATGGTACGTATCATAAAAAATCTAAAGTAATCTCAAATCTTCACACACCTCCAAATAACTTAGTACCAAACAATTGAATTACCAGTCATCATGATAACTACCAATAACATAATCGATTATAATCTAAGATAAACTTATCATTAGTAGTATTCGTAGATTACACACGTGAATATGTACAAAATAATATTCAATACATAATATTGATGGTACGTACCTATGTACTAGCTTAAAAGGGCTGACTTTAAACAAAATGTAAAATCAACATTTAATACGATTAACGTTTAAAATTATTATAACACAGAAGAGGCAAGTGCAACTGAACTTGTAAAACTTCGCCAAAGAAGCTTTTCAATCATATCTAATAGATCATTGAATTGAAAATAAAAATTACAAGCAAAACAATCCTTGATGTATCAGTACACACATATTATCATAGACAAACCACTAAACAACGCCAATTTAACAAGAACCGCGGCGAAAATCAGTACTAAAATTTATCCAACCGAATTTGCCAGCCCCTGGTTACAGTAGCAACAGGTAGCGACACTCTAAAGTGTCAGGACAATTTTGGACCTAAACTGTTCCTGGTGTACGACATTGACTTTGAACCATAGTTTGGGGGATTGGCAAATAAATTGGCTAATAGAGTACGACGTCCATTGCAATGTCACGGGGACAGAAATTGCGTGAGTAAGTTAGATAATATTAGAACTAGATTCGGTCTGAATGTTCCGGGTCTTGATGAAGATATCCTACGGAATACGTACCAGGAAGATCATTGAGACAAATCTATTAGAGTTGCAATTTTGACTGTTCAGAGGACGAATATTTGCTAAATTAGCGTAGGTTGGCCTGAGATTGGAAGGAAGCTAGAGGCTACTGCTGCTATGCAATTTCGCAGACGTATATTATTAACCGACTTCAAAAAAAGGAGGAGGTTCTCAATTCGATTGCATATTTTTTTTATGTTTGTTACCTCACCTCTCCGTTGTTTATGGACGGATTTGCAAAATTTTTTTTATGCTTGAAATTCTTTTCAAAATCGAGTTTTTGTTGGTAAAATTGTCGTTAAAAACAAATGAAACTACTATAAAAAAGCTATAAGTTACAAAGCTTTGGACTGATGCAATTTCTTGTGTAGAGGTCCATAGTTGTAGCTTGTATAGGTGGACTACCTACTTTTTGATGATAGATTTATTCAACCAACTTATACTGAAATACAAGTAATGATAGATTTCACACGTAGTCAATAAGGTATTTTCACAAAAGGATTACAGCGAGATAAGACTTCGATCAAATTGCTGGAAACTCAATGCTGAAAAGTAAAAATTCTCAGTATTACAAGCTTGATAACAAATAACACGACTACAATTAATTATAGTTACCTTGAAGAAACACCTATATTAAGAATGATATATGATAAAGAATTATGAAGAGTGCTAAAGATATAAATAAATATTAATTAGTGTGATTAATAGGTAATTTCTATCGTATTTAGGGTTAGAAAAAAGGATGGGATTCGAAACTTCATCCATAAAATTACCTACCATTAAGTCTTATCTACAGCAATTATCCTAACAAAAGCAGTTGGCATCATTACTGTCGTATTTTACATATATCTATTTAAACCATTATTATCTTCATCTTATCCTTCTAATCAAATCATTTCTTCAACAGTACTTGCACTGATCGGCCTCTTCGAGTTGGGAGTGATCCCAAATCACAAAGCAGGCTTCTACTGCAACGATCCAGCTCTCAGCTTTCCTTTCAACGGGGACACAGTCACCACCGAGATACTCATGTCGACTTTACTGGTTGGACCTATAGTATTTGTAAGTATTGTCTTTATGCAAAAATGTGTGAAAGTCTGTAATGTTTTTCACTAATACTTTACAACCTAATGGCTGTTTTTTTCTGAAAATTAGCTATTCTCGCGTGGTTTCATCCGCTACTCTGCTCCTACAGATCGTAGCGTGATGTTTTATAGCAATAGCCTTCCTCGATAAATGGACTAACGAGCAAAAAAAGAATTGTTCAATTTGAACAAGTAGTTCCGGAGATTAGGGCGTTCAAACAAACCAACATTCTCTTCAGCTTTATATTATTAGTAAAGATTACATAAGAGAATAAACCAAATCGTTCTGACTGGTTCAGAAATCATCCTAAAACATTAAACAGTTTTATATAACCTTTAGGTTACTCATGTTTTTAGAGGAAGAGCCAATGATTTTCTGTGAAAGGAATATTATGTGTACGCGCTCCACCTGATGCGTTATAGTGTTTGTCTGTTTACGTTCAGTTCATAAGCACTAGTTTAAGTCGCATGATCCATATTGGTGTTACAACAGAATGTTGTTTACCAGAATTTAAGTCATCATAGGGAGAAGACTGAAATCCCTTCAAATAAAATCATTAAAGAAATAAAAATGCATAACATTAGATTTGTTTTTTTTAACCTCGTGAAAGGTTGAGACAAAATCACAACCCTATAAAGATCGAGAAACTTCTTACAAATTCTTACTTAAAATTTTTACCCTTCATCAAAAGTAAGATTTGCTATTTACGTTTTATCATCAACATTATCTTTCTCTGTTTCCAGTTTTCGATCACAGAATACATCTTCGTCTACGTTGACTACTCCGAGTCCAGGATACGGCAGACTTGTATAAAGACCTTCTACTTATACAGAACATACATCTATGGGCTGATCATCAACCTTAGTATAGTTGAGGTGATGAAGGGAGTTGTCGGCAGCCCTAGACCTACCTTCTTCGATCTATGTGAACCTGATGCTGGGAAGACTTGCAATGGGTAATGATTATTTGTGTTTTTGTATGTTATAGCATGGCAAACGACCACACGGCTAACCTGATGGTAAGCAATCAGCGCTGCCCATGGACATACGCAACAACGGTGGAGTTACGAGTGCATTGCCGTCCTTTTGGGGATTATGTTCAATGCTTTAAAGTGTTTCTGCTCTTTATTAGATAACATCGAGTCTTTTCTCTCCAAATTACTTTATTAAATTTAATCATCATTGAATAACAGCATTCAAGTTTACTCAGGGCATTTTACTACCACTTCCCAATAATAAGTCAGTCAGATCATCTCGGATACCCAGCCCGGTCAGTGACTGGTCATTTTTACGACATCCGCATTTGTATAGAGCAGTGCTTTCCAAAGATTGTTCTGTCATGGCCGGCGCGGTAATTTTTATACTTCGTCTTCTTTACTCACTTGGAGCGTTCTTCAAAGACCCAATAGACCACCACAGACGGTGCATTTATAGGGTAAACATCAGTTTAGCCAGGGTTGCGGATCAAGCGCAATAAGGTGCCGCAACCTCGGCCTAGAGCGACGAAACGGGGGGATTTTAGTCAGTGGAATATGACACTTCCTTTCTCTTCACCCTGGGTGAGAGGAGTCATCAAATTTTTTCTTTTTGTAAGGTTATCCCCTTACAAAAAGAAAAAATTTCACTGACTACTCTCTTTTGAAATATTATGAGTATATAATATATTTCTTGCAAATATTTTGAAAATAGAAGATAATGTTGATCCCCTGTATAATAATATTTTACTATCACGTCTTGCTATTTGGGAAACGCTGGCATAATAGAGCAATATGTTTGCCACATAGAAATAATACATTTGACATTGAGCGATCTTGAAGCACGCATATGCTACTTATCTAATCTCAGGATTGACGTGACCACATCAAAGTGTCAGAGATGGAAATTCATGAGATTATTGACACTGAATTTGTGATCGTAATGTTACTTATTAGGGAGAGAATGTGGAAGTTTGGTTGAAGAAATTCAAACTTTATTGGTTGAGAAATCTTTAGTTATATACGATTTTGATTTCTTTTACATTTGCCTGATATGAAGCTTTACGGCACTATTAGGGATACGCCAATAATTATCATTACTTACTGTATTATTATAATTATGGTTCTGAATTGTAGATGAGCCATTTTTTTCTAATGTTTTTTTTCCTCATAGAATAATCAGAAACAGATTGTTCAACTAAAATATAAAAAAAAATACTGATACAATTTAATTTTTCTTTTACAGTTCAGAGTACGTTAAAGACTTTCGGTGCACATCAATGAAGTACGCGAGTTGGTATCAAATGGACTCCTACAGGAGCTTCCCATCTGGTCACACCTCTCTGTCCGTCTACTGTGGACTCTTTATTGCGGTAAGATAGTTTTATGTTTTTATGTTCCCATTGGAATTTTGGACTATATTTAAGTAGGTGAGAAATGACGCTAATGATGAAAAAGTCTCTTTTTGTATAGTACCTATCGTGAGATACATGTACATAAGTGTATTGAAGCTGACTGTCGGCTGCGACGCACACGCTGCTTATGAATAAGAGTCCCATTGTGACTCGAAACTAATAGAGATTTTCTCACTATGTTTGTTATTTTCAATAAATTTTGTTTGTCTTTCTTCTGTTTTGTTTTTTTCATGTTAAATTCTCCTATTGATTTCATTACCATTATCATTTATATTTTGTCGACTTTTCTTGTACTTTCCTGTCATTCATACATTATTCCTTATATCCTCTTAATTTTTGACTAAATAATTAATTGTCATTCTTTCTCATTTTCAGTGGTACCTCCAACGCCGTGCCTTCGACTGGTCACACCGTTCTATTTTCATGGTCCCTATGCTGCAACTGCTATGCATCTCCTACGCTGCCGTCTGTTCCCTGACCAGAATCACAGACCACAGGCATCACTGGTGGGATGTCCTCGTTGGAAGCTTCATCGGTGTTGTCACTGTTCTTTACGCTGTAAGTAACGCTTATTAAACTAGGTTCTTTGAGTAAAATTCGAGTACCAATATCTTGTTTGAAATCGACTATTCTTTCATTAATTAAAAAATATTTTTATAGGGTTGTCAAAAAGTATTTGATTTATCTGTTCAAAAAAATGTCTCAAAAATAAAGTGATCGCGTCCTAGTCTGTCCCTTTGAAATGGCCATAGGCGTCACTTGCTAATTTAATTTATATCCAAGTCAATTCATCCAAGTCAGTCTTTCCGACATTAATATTGATCATCATGTTCTTTGGCTTCCAGGTAATCATCAGCTCGAACTTTTCGAACGATCATTCAAAAATCAGTGATCTGAAGTCCCAGGAGAGCCGACAAACTGTGAGGACCTTATTATATGACGAGAGAAGACCTGTGACAGTGTCCTAGTGTAAAAAAAGAACAAAAGACTGGTTTAAAATTTAATAGACCGTGGTCTATTTGAAAATCTGGTGCGAAAGGACCAGGATGGTTGACTACGTTGACTCTCCGAAATTAGGAACGAATTTATTTCAAAAATAAAGGCCAGTTTAGCCTTTTGAAGAATAAACACATATCGTTTTTATTTTATAAGTATTTAGAATGTGGTCCTAATTATTTTGTTAAAATTATTATTTAGAACTTAGGACAATGTTTGTTTGAAGTATGTACTAGTAAAAAAATCTCAAGTGTTGGTTTCCAGCTCGAACGACTTTTGAACAAATTAACATCGTATTCGATACATATTTATTTTCTAGATAAAAGTATGACATTATTACTTGTTAAAATGTTTATTTTTAATAGACATTTATTGACACAAAATTTCTCTGACTGGTTTACATTTCGAAAAATAGAATTCTACCAATTTTACACTTGGACAAAAAAAAATATATGAAAATAAATAAAAGCACTAAAAATGTTCAAAAAATAGAAAAAATATGCAACTGATATATCCGCCATATCTTTTTTAGTTTAAATTTTTGTAGTTATGCCATAGTTAGTTTGACTTATGTTAAAACTATATTTATCTTATTGTCACATTGTAATTATATTTAATTTTAGTTATCATGACAATATGAAAAGTATGGCTTCATATGTTGTTTATTTATTTAAACTGCATGCTCAATGGGTACATAGGCGGACTTAATGCCTAAGGTATTTTCTATGTGTATTTAAATAATCTGACAATACGTATGGCATTTTATGTGAACTGTAACATTTGAATCGACAATAAAATCTTGGATATACCTACATTTGCTTGAAAAGTAAATGTTTTAGGACCTTTATACCAGATTTGTAGGAGAGAAATAATCATATTTAAATTGACCAAACCATGCAGGTTTTTATATTATATTTATATGCATGTTAGAGTAAGATTGTCAAAGTGTGTTTGAGAAATATTAATTTTAAATACTTGTTATTTATCCATTATATGCTTTTGTTATTTATTCAACCTTTAAGCATTAAATTGAAATACTAATTGAAATATATTTGTGCCCAACGAATCGTCAACCTGTATACAAATAAAAAAAATATTAATAGAAAAAATGTACTTAAATTGGCAACACCTTTGTATGTTATAAACTTATTTATGAGTTTGTTTTTAATCGTAGAAATAAGTAGGTAGTTAAATTAGTTATATTTAAATTGTAATTTAATAATTGAATTAAGAAATAGCATATCAGTATTATAGAATTGGAGGATGGCTGAAGGATATGTATTTATAAATGACGACGTTGCATTTTGTTAAAATAAAAATTGAATTTAATACAATTGAGGTTTTATTTGCCCTGGTAATATATATACCTACTTGCCTACCAAATTCCGTTTTAGTCTATGATAAAAAAATATCTTTGTTATATCAGATATAACAAGAGTCCCTTAGAAGATTCGTAACTCTTACTGAATTATTATTTAGTAAACCCGAAAAAATCCCATACTTAGTACCTCCTTTGCACAAGATAAAGGTCAGCCGACCCATTCGTGCCGAAGCATGACTCTTGCATTTTTAATTTGAAAGATTGCATAGAACCCGCGTCATGTAAACGCTCTAAAAATTATTTGGTCCTTCTGTCCAACACCAATCACTGACACAAATATGGCCTTCGTACCAAAGGACCGTAGGGCACAGGGACGAAATATAGGTCATAATGATAGCCCTGCAACACAACCACTTATCTGCTATTATCAAAATAAGGATGCTCGTGATAACCGGTTCGATTCCCGTGTGATACACGATGTCGATGTACTTGCAAGTAAATTGTTGTGTATTAAGATGTTTTGAGGCAATGTTGTGGTTTGTGTAAGTATAGTAATCTGTGTCCGTTACCCAGGCCAGATGTTGTCGACAATGGTCATTTGAATCTTATAGATAATTAGTTGTGCGGCTTCTGTAATTGTTGCGCACATTTTTAAATTTGTTGCGCTTATAGTTTTTTAATTATTTCACAAAAACATTTCCTGCTGGCGTAACGTTACCACAGCCAGACCTTTTTATTTCTAATGGGAATATTTAAATAAATATTAGCTATAAAATTAGTTGTCTAGATAAAGTAAATGTTGTGCCTTATTTTGTATTTGTTCTTTCTTCGGTTGCGAAGTTATTCGAGATTTTGCTGCGGTAACGTTTTTGGTTTTGCTAGATCTTTGAAATGGTTAAGCGGATTCTTATCATATTTTGTACACGACTTCCGAGGACTTAGTTTAAATTTGTTGTGCAATAGCAAAACCAAAATAATGCATATTTTAAAGGTTTTTTCATTAAATAGAAAAACACTTCAATTGGCCCCAGCACTCTCAATAAGAAGTCTAAAGACTTACTTTAAACGTAATTTTAAAGCTTGTAACTGTCTTCAAATGTATGTGAAGTTTCATTAGTATCCCGTAAGTATTTAACAAGTTATGATAATATTCAGTTCTTCACGAGCACGGCCTTAATGCACGCAGTGTTATTTGGCCACTGGATTGGATATATGAACTGAATGTTATGTCAATAATTAGTTGTTTAGATCAGTTGTATATCAGTAAAATTTCAGCTCAATACATTGGATAATTAATGAGATAATACTATGAAAGTCATTAGGAAGTGAATGACCGTGGTAAGCCGACCAAGTTTAGGTGGTTACGAAAAAGCGAAAACGCAGAACATTGTACTATCTTTTGAAATCTTTAGTATAATACACCTTACAATTTTGGTACAGACGCGTACACTGTTTAATACCTATATAATAATAATATAAAAGAAAACATTATCTTCCAGTTCCACAAAATTTATCAAAAATCACCGCTGGAGCATGCCGTTCGGTAGGACGCAGGAGGAGTGGGGTGAAGGGGTAATACATTGTTTGCATAACGCACTCAGTCTTGCCAGAAGGTTACTTTTGTAACCTTTTAGATGATTTTTGAACTGCATTTTGAAATAGAAATGACAAGGACGGGTGATGTTTAATCGGTTGCTAAGCAACACAAGTTTTTATAAGTAAGGAAGTAAAAGTTCAATTGAAATGATTATTTTACCTTTCAATAAAAAATCTTGAATAATCATGTAGTTCTTTTTTAAACTTTTGTACATGTCTGTACTAAATTTATAACACTATCCTACATATTTTAGAAGGTACCATAATGTTCTGCGTTTTCGCTTTTTCGTAACCACCTAAACTTGGTCGGCTTACCACGGTCATTCACTTCCTAATGACTTTCATAGTATTATCTCATTAATTATCCAATGTATTGAGCTGAAATTTTACTGATATACAACTGATCTAAACAACTAATTATTGACATAACATTCAGTTCATATATCCAATCCAGTGGCCAAATAACACCGCGTGCATTAAGACCGTGCTCGTCAAGAACTGAATATCATCATAACTTGTTAAATACTTACGGGATACTAATGAAACTTCACATACATTTGAAGGCAGTTACAAGCTTTACAATTACATTTAAAGTAAGTCTTTAGACTTCTTATTGAGAGTGCTGGGGCCAATTGAAGTGTTTTGCTATTTAATGAAAAAACCTATAAAATATGCATTATTTTGGTTTTGTTATTGCACAACAAATTTAAACTAAGTCCTCGGAAGTCGTGTACAAAATATGATAAGAATCCGCTTAACCATTTCAAAGATCTAGCAAAACCAAAAACGTTACCGCAGCAAAATCTCGAATAACTTCGCAACCGAAGAAAGAACAAATACAAAATAAGGCACAACATTTACTTTATCTAGACAACTAATTTTATAGCTAATATTTATTTAAATATTCCCATTAGAAATAAAAAGGTCTGGCTGTGGTAACGTTACGCCAGCAGGAAATGTTTTTGTGAAATAATTAAAAAACTATAAGCGCAACAAATTTAAAAATTTGCGCAACAATTACAGAAGCCGCACAACTAATTATCTATAAGATTCAAATGACCATTGTCGACAACATCTGGCCTGGGTAACGGACACTAGTAATCTGTGTTTATTACGTATAGTATCTTGTCTATTATATTTCTGAGTAATGGGTAGAGTTAGGCATAGGAAATAATTAGAGGAACTAAAGTAATTTAAATAACCAAATCATCTTTTCGGCTAGCAGAGTCCGTGATAGGTCTAACTTCATCTAGATAATTCTTATGGAATGTTGATATCCTATACAGACTAGGTACAGAAAGTAGTAGTAGTATTAAAAAAATTTCGCCATTGTTTTGTCAAATCAAATGTCTTCATCATCAAGTGCCTTTGCACAACGCTGTGGGTTGTTCCACGCCGGTATTCTGTGAGGCCGTGGTATCACTCCGGTCGAGCCGACCCATTCGTGCCGAAACTTGGCTCTCCCACACTTACACGTTGCTCCACATTAGGATATTCTCCTGTGTCATGGGTGCGTTTACAAACATACAATTTCACATATACATCACACCCAGACACGGAACAACAATTTGAGGATCACACAAAAAGTTGTTCCGTGCGGGAATCGAATTGCACGGTAGCCAGTGGATCAGCCACCGCGCTAACCGTGCAGTCAAGTCAGTCAGTGATTTATAATAACAATATAGAATGTAATCTAGCTTCCGCCTTTAGTGATAATAATTTAAGTAGTAAAATTTTTTAGACAATTATCATAATATAAAACAAAATTTTCTAATTTCAAGTAAGCGAAAACAAAGACACACATATTTTCGTTGCCCCAAAAATATGATCTTATTGTTATCGAGAAATTAGCACAGTTCATTAGTTCACCAGTGTACATACACTTTTGATGTACCCGTCAGTTTTATCTCTCAAACTCTTCAAATTATACTAGAAGATTTACTCGATTCACAATAAGTATCACATCCTAAAACAAATTTAGCAAACAGCTGCTGTAAGCGATTTCAAGTCATATTTCAAAGATTTAAGAGTGGTATTGAATGAATAGTTTAGTTTGGTTAACAATAAATTTTCTGCAGTTTTTCTATGACTTATTGTTGATGGCGTAAAAGTGAAAATCGTTTGCAATAAGTGTATGAAAGGTTTGTAAATATAGTGAAGCTATTGTCATTTCTATTGTTAGTAAATTAATTGTCAATATGATGTGTCTTGTTTGGTGTCTGGCTCTTTGACTATGAGTGATAGGTGGTGATTGGCGATTGGTGATTGATAGGTTTTCTCTAGAAATGTTTGTAATAGTGTCAAAGAGTTTAAATTACATGTAAGGATTTGAAATCTTTTTGGTACGAATATAAAATGTTTCAATTAATATGCTTATTTAATAAAATGTCACAACTATTGTAAAGAGGACACATTTGCCAGACTTCGTGGCAAGGTAAATAATGAGACTGTAGATGGTTAAGGTCTGTTTATTACTTTAATTGCTGGTGCTTATATACTAAGAAGATGCGTGAGATTTTCAGATTTAGCTATCCTAACAAACGTGCAACAATTAACATGTATGTCTTATCTCTATCGTATCTAAGTAATGTAGCGACGTGATAGTGCCGCTACATATACTCCCCCCTTTTAAAAATAATTAAAATATAAATTGAAAAAAATTAGTATGTACCTAATTATATAATAACTTAACCTTGCTGATAAATTACATCCTATGCGTAATGTAATGTCATTGTTGCTAATTCGAAGGAAATAAAAACTGCTGCCTTTGTTGTGACGGCGGCGGCAGTCGATGAACTATCCACTGCATTTGTGCTGATTGTTTCTTGCTATTGTTTTCACTCTTCTGTCTAAGGTCTTCAGTATTCCGTAGAGAAGAAGGATGCCAATTGTGATGAGGATTTGTCCAATTGCAATGTTTCTCGTCCACCATAGCTCTTCCAGGATGACTCAGTCCATGCATGACATTAAAAATTTGTCTCCGAAATTTTTCCGGTAAATAGGGGCGATTTTTTTCTGTAGATATGTCACAGGCGATGACTTCAGTAGAACCCGGAACCTTGATATTTGAAAATTTTAAATTCTTGTTATTACGAAGTCGTAATAATTCTTGGTCATCATGCTGACATCTTGCTAAATCAGCATAATTAATCGGTGATGGCACATCAATTTGTTCTATCCGTGACAATGCGTCTGCTACAATATTGTCACGTCCTTCTATATGTTGAATGTTGGTACAATATTGTGAAATAAAATCCAGTTGTCGTATTCGCCGTGGCGTATCATTAGATGACGGTTTTTGGGAAAATGCGTAAGTCAAAGGTCGATGATCTGTAAAGATAGTAAATTCTCTTCCTTCGACTAACCTTTGAAAATGTTTGACTGCCATATATATTCCGAGCAACTCTCTGTCGAATG